GACACAGACACAGACACAGACACAGACACAGACACAGACACAGACACAGACACAGACGCAGACACAGACGCAGACGCAGACGCAGACGCAGACGCAGACGCAGACGCAGACGCAGACGCAGAGACACGCAGAGACACACAGAGACACACAGAGACACACAGAGACACACAGAGACACACAGAGACACACAGACACAGACACACAGAGACACACAGAGACACACAGAGACACACAGAGACACACAGAGACACACAGAGACACACAGAGACACACAGAGACACACAGAGACACACAGAGACACACAGAGACACACCTAGACACACAGAGACACACAGAGACACACAGAGACACACAGAGACACACAGAGACACACAGAGACACACAGAGACACACAGAGACACACAGAGACACACAGAGACACACAGAGACAAACAGAGACACACAGAGACAAACAGAGACACACAGAGACACACAGAGACACACAGAGACACACAGAGACACACAGAGACACACAGAGACACACAGAGACACACAGAGACACACAGAGACACACAGAGACACACAGAGACACACAGAGACACACAGAGACACACAGAGACACACAAGGACACACAGAGACACACAGAGACACACAGAGACACACAGAGACACACAGAGACACACAGAGACACACAGAGACACACAGAGACACACAGAGACACACAGAGACACACAGAGACACACAGAGACACACAGAGGACACACAGAGACACACAGAGACACACAGAGACACACAGAGACACACAGAGACACACAGAGACACACAGAGACACACAGAGACACACAGAGACACACAGAGACACCACAGAGACACACAGAGACACACAGAGACACACAGAGACACACAGAGACACACAGAGACACACAGAGACACACAGAGACACACAGAGACACACAGAGACACACAGAGACACACAGAGACACACAGAGACAGAGAGACACAGAGAGACACAGAGAGACACAGAGAGACACAGAGAGACACAGAGAGACACAGAGACACAGAGACACAGAGACACAGAGACACACAGACACACACAGAGACACACAGAGACACACAGAGAGACACAGAGACACAAAGACACAAAGACACAGAGACACTGTTTGTTTGTTTGGTTAGTCGGTTAGTTAGTTCTGTTGGCTCTGGGATTTACTTTCGGTCCGTTGGTTGGTTTGTGGGTTGGTTGGTGGGTTGGGTGGGAGGGAAGATAGGTGGCTGTGCTGCTTTTTAGTTGCTTGCCTGCTTGTGTGCTTGCACTGCATGCAAACTTCTCATCTATTGTCCTCCTGCGGCTGAATCTGCAACAGCTTCAGAAAAAGGCACAGAAACCTCGATGGCCGGCGCCGTCCACCGTAAGTTCCAGCGACATAGTCTAGCTTCGCCGCCTGTCCAATAGCAGGGACAATGGTTTCCCTTTTTGCCTTTGACGACTTTCAACCTGGTCGGCCCTTGGTGAGAAACTCTCTCGGTGATGTGGGGGGGCGGGGTGTTTCAACAAATAGGGCCGCTCTTGGTTTAAAGGACAACCAAACCTAGTTCTTCCAGCAGCATACAAGCTCTGCAGCATCTTGATCGCTGGTGTGCTGGGAGTGTACAGGAGAAAGGGATACAAGTCAAGTACGCTGCGCAGTGGTGTGGCAGAATGAATCTCGTGCATGCAGTGAATCACAGTATCAAAGTCTTAGAACAAAACTTGTCAATTGGCAATGGCTCGACCTGAGCATAGAACCAAACAACATACACAAAACAATGTCTTGAATGTCACGCAAATTCAATGGCCTCGTCAATCAGCGACTCTGTGGTAAGACCAAAGCAGTATTCCTTCCAGTATGCATCATTGTAGATCTTCACCCGCACAATCCGATCTACCAGGAACTGAGGATTTGCTCCGTGGACAGTATCCGCATCAGGGTCTGTGCGGTTTGCCATCGGCCGCCTCAGCTCAAATTCCAACGCAGAACGGCAAAAACCGGGCGCTTTACCCGAAAATCGAGAGCTTAGGCATGCACCCTGAACTGACGGCTTGCACATTGTCGCGAAAAAGCTGCAGGCCATGCAATGCGAAAAGACCATGATTATGCATCACCGAAGGCCGCAAGGCATGAGGAGGAGATTGCAAGCCTTGCCAAGTGAACCCTTCACCAGGAAACACACTTTTTCTTCACACAAAGTCACAGCTGCGATACGCAACTGATGTGCTAGAGCTCAGCTCAGCCCTACGAAGCGCCCCTGGCGGTCGGGTCAACCTGACCTGCCTGAGCAAGCAAGCAGATTTCCTGTATCGCCTTCGCACAGCAAAGTAGCATGGCTTCTTCGCTTCATGACATAAACAAAAGAGTCAGAAAGGTCTGGCATCACCTTGCTCCTTATTTGATGACGCTTGCCGTTTCGTTTGGTCCATGCAGCTTCGATGACATAGCGGCCAACTTCATGTGATAGGAGCCCGAAGATTGTAGAACCGTTCTACCGCTCTTAGCTTGATCAGCCAAGGTTTCACACTGCCTCACCATGAGTCCCCTGAGTCAAAACCTAAGCCTTTGCCACGATTTGCAGAATCTCTCCCAGCAAAGTCTGTGCAAAAGGCCCAGTCTGGCCTGAACCATCTCTCCCAGCAGCTCTACACACTCCGCTGGGGTGAGCACAGGGCTAAGGAAGGTCTCCAATTGCTGCAGCGCCTGCGAAGGTTCACAAGGCTTGCACGACGCTCGCGGTTCCGGCTTGCTGGTGCGCTGCACGCACCAAATTCTCGGTACCAGTAGTGCTATTTCCGGGCCACCCACCTTGATGTGAAAAGCTCACTCCCAAACTCCCAAACTCCGGATGTTGGTATCGAGAGAAAAGCATGCAAAGGGTTTGGCATGCTCGCGGAAAACTGCTAGGACTCAAACAAATCAAAAGGTTGGCCCAGTTCCGACGGTTCCTCGGAGACGACATGCTCCTTAGAGATCTGGGCTACTCACTTTTCGCAAGAGCTCGTCAAATTTTGACGTTATTTGTCGAGTGACAGATTGGCAGGAAAGTGCCATGCTTCACAAAGTAGAAAGAAACAAACAAATGAAAACAAACAAATTCATTTGATTCATTTGATTCATGCCATTCATGTCATTCATGTCATTCATTTCACCGTGCCTCGCGGATGCCTGGCTCCGTGGACTGCCCCTTCCCGGCCAGCTTCAGGGTCTCAAAGACCTGCGATGCGACGGCGAGACTGCGCCTTTTGAAGCTCCGAAATCCGCGCCTTTGCGGGTCCGGCGCTCTGGGCGATCAGCTCCTTGCCGGTTGGGCTTCCCACCCCCCACGCTCCCAACAAAGGCAAGCAACACTCAAGGCACACCGGTAAACAAGAAGGCAAGCGTTTCGTGTTGCTTACGGGTTGCCCGGTTTGCTTGCAAAAATCCTCTCGCTCTTACATGGTGTCCTCAACGCATCGTTGAAAGAGCATTCGGCGCACGCCAAATAAAGGCCTGCAAGCAAGTGCGCATAACGAACAATGAGCAAGAAGATGTGTTCGCGGACAACCTAACACCAAACAGTTCTGACTGGTGCTTTGCGCTGGCAAATTGCCTGACCAGCTGACCGACTAGCTAACTAGTGAATAACTGACCAACTAACTATCCCGTTGAGAAGGTGTAGCTTTCTGACTGACTTCCTGACAAAATGACTGAGTTAGCTTGGCCAATACATAAGCAAGCTAGCCTGCGATATTTCTGATTAACTGATTCGCTGCCTGGACTCAGTGACTCACTGACTGGCTCACTGACTGGCTCACTGGCTGGCCAGCTGGCTGGGCTGGCTCGTTGGCTGACTGGTACCTGAATTTGCTCAACTCAAAGTTGGTCTACTGGTCTGACCCCTGGAGTACCGATTTCTTTTATGCTGGTTTTGGCACGCAAACACCCCATCTACCATTGCAACACATGCTCAACGCTACGTCTTTGCGTCTTTGCCAGATACCAATTCACATGGCCCATTTTGTCGAAGTCTTTTTGCAAGAGCTTGACGGAAGATCTGGGCCTAAAGCCGTGCTCAGGTTGGCAAATGCAAGTGGCTGTCCCCTTGCAACATGTTGAACCCGCGACCGTCCTGTTGCCCTAACTCATTGTCAAATCCGCCGACCCTTTCTCTAAAAAGGGGAGGCGCACGGGAAGGGTGGTTGGCGCATAAGTATAACCAAAGTTTCATCCTCACCAGCATCAGCAGCTGCAGCTACGATAAATGTTATCGTCACGGTCATCGTGATCATCATCATCCTTATCATCAACTCTTTATTGTTCTCTTATCCCTATCATCATTATCATCATGGTTGTCGTCATCTCTTATCATGCAGCATTGGTGATGCAGAGGATGCTGCGACGATAGTTATCATCAGAGCCGTTAGTGATGCTGAGGATGCTACGATGATAGTTATCATCCTTGTCATCATCTTTCTCATCCTCTGATCATCACCTAGCATCATCTGATATCATATTACATATTATATGTAGAAATCGAAAGGGACGTCAGACATCCTTGGCAATGCAAAAGATGCGATGATGATAGTTATCAAGGAACAAGTAGTGATGCAGAGGATGTTGTGATGATCGTTGTCATGACGCGGATGATAAGCATCAGCACGCCCCCATTATCAGCCTGGTCGTCGTCATCTCTTATCAAGCAGCATTGGTGATGCAGAGGATGCTGCGATGATAGTTATCATCACAGCCGATAGTGATGCTGACGATGCTACGGTGATAGTTATCATCCTCGTCATCATCTTTATCATCATCTGATCATCACCGGGCATCATCCAATATCTTATTGGGACGTTAGACATCCTTGGCAATGCAAAGGATGCGATGATGATAGTTATCAAGGAACAAGTAGTGATGCAGAGGATGTTGCGCTGATAGTTGTCATGATGCGGGTGATATTGATCATCAGGCCCGTGCCATTATCATCATGGTCGTCGTCATCTCTTATCAGGCAGCATTGGTGATGCAGAGGATGCTGCGATGATCGTTATCATGACAGCCGTTGGTGATGCTCAGGATGCTACGATGATAGTTGCCATCCTCGTCAACATCTTTCTCATCATCTGTCTAGCATCATCTCATATCTTACTATATATAGAAATCAAAAGGGACGTTAGAGATCCTTGGCAATGCAAAAGATGCGATGATGATAGTTGTCAAGGAACAAGTAGTGATGCAGAGGATGTTGTGATGATAGTTGTCATGATGCGGATGATATTGATCATCAGGCCCGTGCCATTATCATCATGGTCGTCGTCATCTCTTATCAGGCAGCATTGGTGACGCAGAGGATGCTGCGATGCTCGTTATCATCACAGCCGTTGGTGATGCTAAGGATGCCATGATGATAGGTCGTCATCTTTCTCATCATCTGATCATCACCTAGCATCATCTCGTGTCTTATCATATCTTACTATATATAGAAACCAAAATGGACGTTAGACATCCTTGGCAATGCCAAAGATGCGACGATGATAGTTATCAAGGAACAAGTAGTGATGCAGAGGATGTTGCGCTGATAGTTGTCATGATGCGGATGACAACGATCATCAGGCGCGTGCCATTATCATCATGGTCGTCGTCATCTCTTATCAGGCAGCATTGGTGATGCAGAGGATGCTGCGACGATCGTTATCATGACAGCCGTTGGTGATGCTCAGGATGCTACGATGATAGTTGTCACCCTCGTCATCATCCTTCTCATCATCTGTCACCTAGCATCATCTCATATCTTACTATATATAGAAATCAAAAGGGACGTTAGACATCCTTGGCAATGCCAAAGATGCGATGATGATAGGTATTAAGGAACAAGTAGCGATGCAGAGGATGTTGGAATGATCGTTGTCATGACGCGGATGATAACGATGAGTACGCCCCCATTATCATCATGGACGTCGTCATCTCTCATCAGGCAGCATTGGTGATGCAGAGGATGCTGCGATGATAGTTGTCATCACAGCCGTTAGTGATGCTAAGGATGCTACGATGATAGGTCGTCATCTTTCTCATCATCTGATCATCACCTAGCATCGTCTCGTGTCTTGTCATATCTTACTATATATAGAAATCAAAAGGGACGTTAGACATCCTTGGCAATGCAAAGGATGCGATGATGATAGTTATCAAGGAACAAGTAGTGATGCAGAGGATGTTGCGCTGATAGTTGTCATGATGCGGGTGACAACGATCATCAGGCCCGTGCCATTATCATCATGGTCGTCGTCATCTCTTATCAGGCAGCATTGGTGATGCAGAGGATGCTGCGACGATCGTTATCATGACAGCCGTTGGTGATGCTCAGAATGCTACGATGATAGTTGTCATCCTCGTCATCATCTTTCTCATCATCGGTCACCTAGCACCATCTCATATCTTACTATATATAGAAATCAAAAGGGACGTTAGACATCCTTGACAATGCCAAAGATGCGATGATGATGGTTATTAAGGAACAAGTAGTGATGCAGAGGATGTTGTGATGATCGTTGTCATGACGCGGATGATAACGATCAGTACGCCCCCATTATCATCATGGACGTCGTCATCTCTCATCAGGCAGCATTGGTGATGCAGAGGATGCTGCGATGATAGTTGTCATCGCAGCCGTTAGTGATGCTAAGGATGCTACGATGATAGTTATCATCCTTGTCATCATCTTTATCATCATCTGATCATCACCTAGCGTCATCTCGTGTCTTATCATATCTTACTACATATAGAAGTGGGACGTTAGACATCCTCGGCAATGCCAAAGATGCGACGATGATAGTTATCAAGGAACAAGTAGTGATGCAGAGGATGCTGTGATGATAGTTGTCATGACGCGGTTAATAACGGTCATCACGCCTCGTTCTCATCACGGTCGTCGTCATCTCTTATCAGGCAGCATTGCTGATGCAGAGGATGCGGCGATGATCGTTATCATCACAGCCGTTAGTGATGCTAAGGATGCTACGATGATAGTTATCATCCTTGTCATCATCCTTATCATCATCTGATCATCACCTAATGCCAAAGATGCGATGATGATAGTTATTAAGGAACAAGTAGTGATGCAAAGGATGTTGTGATGATCGTTGTCATGACGCGGATGATAACGATCAGTACGCCCCCATTATCATCATGGGCGTCGTCATCTCTTATCAGGCAGCATTGGTGATGCAGAGGATGCTGCGATGATAGTTGTCATCGCAGCCGTTCGTGATGCTAAGGATGCTACAATGATAGTTATCATCCTTGTCATCATCTTTATCATCATCTAATCATCACCTGGCATCATCTAATATCTTATTAAATATAAAAATCAACAGGGACGTTAGACATCCTTGGCAATGCAAAGGATGCGACGATGATGGTTATCAAGGAACAAGTAGTGATGCAGAGGATGTTGTGATGATAGTTGTCATGATGCGGATGATGACGATCATCAGGCCCGTGCCATTCTCATCATGGTCGTCGTCATCTCTTAACAGGCAGCATTGGTGATGCAGAGGATGCTGCGATGATCGTTATCATCACAGCCGTTGGTGATGCTAAGGATGCTACGATGATAGTTATCATCCTCGTCGTCATCTCTCTCATCATCTGATCATCACCTAGCATCATCTCATGTCTTCTCATATCTTACTATATATAGAAATCAAAAGGGACGTTAGACATCCTTGGCAATGCCAAAGATGCGATGATGATAGATATCAAGGAACAAGTAGTGATGCAGAGGATGCTGTGATGATAGTTGTCATGACGCGGTTAATAACGGTCATCACGCCTCGTTCTCATCACGGTCGTCGTCATCTCTTATCAGGCAGCATTGCCGATGCAGAGGATGCGGCGATGATCGTTATCATCACAGCCGTTAGTGATGCTCAGGATGCTACGATGATAGTTATCATCCTTGTCATCATCTTTATCATCATCTGATCATCACCTAGCATCATCTCGCGTCTTATCATATCTTACTATATATGAAAATCAAAATGGACGTTAGACATCCTTGGCAATGCCAAAGATGCGATGATGATAGTTATCAAGGAACAAGTAGTGATGCAGAGGATGCTGTGATGATAGTTGTCATGACGCGGATGATAACGATCATCACGCCTCATTCTCATCATGGTCGTCGTCATCTCTTATCAGGCAGCATTGGTGATGCAGAGGATGCGGCGATGATCGTTACCATCACAGCCGTTAGTGATGCTAAGGATGCTACGATGATAGTCGATAGTTATCATCCTCGTCGTCATCTTTCTCATCATCTGATCATCACCTAGCATCACCTCGTGTCTTCTCATATCTTACTATATATAGAAGTGGGACGTTAGACATCCTTGGCAATGCCAAAGATGCGACGATGATAGTTATCAAGGAACAAGTAGTGATGCAGAGGATGTTGTGATGATAGTTGTCATGACGCGGATGATAACGATCA